TTTATTTGCATATAGAGTGGGGAAGGATAAACCTCATGTAGGCCTCTTCCCGTACGTACAGCGGTTCTTATGAAAGAAGAATATGCTGTAAGAACTGTGGGTGAAATGATGAGGTGTGTTCATTATTTTATAGTCTACATCGTTCTGTAAAACAGAGTTTATAAACTTCACCATCATCTCCCTTGATCCCGAATAGTGACGCACGTTGTAAAGTCTGTTTAAATATGTAGATCAATCATTAATCAATCACATAATTAATTTAATATTACTGTAATGACGGTTTCCAGGTAAATATAAAGAGTCAGTGGAACAGCTGCTATAAACATCAGTGCTGTCTCTTCTTTGTTCCTTTCATCGACAGGTCTACTGAGCGGTGGAGTGGACACAAGTACCAATATGCAAACTGATGTTTTAAGTTTCTACGCCCATTAATGGATGATTGTGTGAGTGGAAAAGAAGCTTGTTCCTGTGAGTTTGTTTCCACAATGACGGAGATTTATAAAACACAATCAGGCGTATGTGCGGCTTCATGAATCTGAAGAAAAGAAGTCGTCAATCTACACAGACTTTATGTATCCGGCCTCAGGTGTACATGAAGGCTGTTAGCGAGCAGGGTCAGAGGACGCTGGGCAGCAGACGCAGCAGTTCTGACTCCATCTTCTGTTGTTTTCTTAAAAACCTGCGACAGCTGTCTGAAGACGTTCCACAATCTGCAGGTAAAGTTTGTAATTTACCTGCCACAGTGCCCAAACAGACATTTCCCTGAAGACTAAATATAACAAATAATAAGCCATAAACAGTGAATAAACATCATTTACACTTTTTAAACTATGTCAGACTGGGAGCACCATCTCAAGTAAACAAATTAAATCAGCACTCGCTATCTGGCCCGGTTTGCAAAGACAATAAACAAGAAATAAAGTGAATAAATGAAAAATATCTCAGTTTGTATTGAATCCCCACATCAGCACTACAATGCTTATTGAGCCTTTCTTGCTGGCTTTCCTCCAACTCCAGCTGAGAGGTACAATAAACAGCACTAAGCTCTGGCAGTCGGTGTGTCTCAGTGGGACGTGTGAAGTTCAGCTGTAGAACAGTAGGCTGGGAAATGGGAATACTCAATGGGAGTCTGCATTAAACAATCCGACTGCGGCATCGAAACCAGAAGAGTTGTCAGCATCTTCAGAGCGTCTTTCTCCTTGATATCAGCGCTTCTACCACAGATAAACTACTCGTCATTTGTGGTGTCGAATCTCCTCAGACTTACTGACCTCTGCCCTGGTTCCACAGCTTGTGACGTAATGTTGGGTATTTTATTTTGAAACCTGACTTCCTGCTCTGTGCTGCCGCCTACCTGCGTCCTGTGAATGGAGAAGTAGTCCTGGGAGCCTCCCTCGGTGTGGGGGTTGTCCATCAGCGGCAGGTCTCTCAGGGTGGTGCTCCACTTAGCGGGGACCTCCTGCCCGGGGCTCCTCCTCAACAGACGCACAGTCACATAGGCAGTGTAGTAATTCTTAAAGGTGATTTCCTCAATCTGAAAGACAGATTATAAAAGCCCCCACGCTGTGTCACCGTGTTTCTACTGAATAAAAAAGGAAATTCATCTTAAAAATAAAGTCTTGTACAATGAATCAGACTCATTAAGAAGAAACCTCCTCCAGTCCACAGCAGGTCTCAACCTTTTGTTTAAGAAACACTGAGTCCGCTAAATCACAGTATTAGCATTCAAACGTAGAGCCGGTGCCATCGAACGGAGCTCGCTGGAGATAATTCCTTCATGCATAAACTCGCTCTGGGCAGACGCCTTTGAAGCTCAGACCTAATGAGGAGTCGCTCTGCATTAAAAATGATTTTTAATTAGGACTAAATGCTAAAAAGTAGGTCAGTGCCCGAAAAGTCTCTCTCAAGACGGGAACACGGCTTTCTGTTTAAACAAATGTTGTGTTTGTGTGTGTGTGTGTGTTTTCTGCTTTATAAGACGGCGCCGGCGGGAGAGCTCACAAACACGGATGTTGAATAAAATTAAAAATGGTACTTTTAAGAGTTTATTTTCACGCTGGGGGGAAGTCTGAAGAGATTACACATATTTCTTTAGTGCGTTCTCCAACAAAAGTACATTCTTCATTTATTTATTTCACATCCATACTGGGAGAAAAGGTAGTATGAATAGGATCAATAGTTGAGGTTAACTCTGGTTTCATACTGCAGGCAAAATGATAAAGAAGCATGAGCAACATTTATTGATGAGACTGAATATGAGAACTGAAATAGTTTTAGTTAGCTTTATATTTTTATACATATAATATAAAGTCTGTGGCCTGTTGAGGATCAGGTGAAGAGAGTTTACAGTCCTGCTTCCTCCAACTCAGAAAGAGATCACAAAATCAAGTAATTATTTTACTGATCAAGAGAAAGTAATTATTACTGACCTCTGCCCCGGTTCTACAGCTTGTGATGAAATGTTGATGTTGATGAGTATTGACGGGATTATTTCTGCCTGCATGGTTTCTTTTAAATATTTTTGGGGCTTTTATTGCCTTTATGAGCTGAAGACAGACAGGAAAGGTCCGCAGGTCGGATTCGAACCCTGG